CTGATGATACTAAAAGTGGGAGGGTAATAGACACGGACTTAGACACTACAACATTACAGGAGGACCTGGATAAAATAGGGGAGCGGGCAACTACATGGCAGATGAGGTTTAATGTTGAAAAATTTAAAGTAATGCACTTTGGGGTTAAAAACAGGCAAGTGGAAAACACATTAATGGGAACTCCACTAGGGAAGTCAGAAATGGAAAAAGATTTAGGGGTCATTGTAGACCACAGATTGAATAATAGCTTGCAATTGCAGGCTGTGGCAAACAAAGCTAGTAGAGTACTGTCTTGTATTTAAAAGGGAATGTACTGTAGAGACAAGGCGATCATTTTTGCCACTTTATAGGCTGCTGGTTCGGCCTCATCTGAAGTATGCGGTACAGTTTTGGTTACCAGTCCACAGAAAAGATGTCCTGGAGCTGGAGAAAGTCCAGAGAAGGGCAACTAAACTAATTAAGGGGATGGAGGACCTAAGCTATGAGACAAGGCTACTAAAGTTAAACTTGTTCACGCTGGAAGTGAGGAGATTAAGAGGGGGCATGATTTCCGATGTACAAGATGTTCAGCGGTGATGGCAACATCAGCAACAAACTGTTTACGGTAAACTCCCTAACAAAGACTAGAGGCCACCACCTAAAATTGGTGGAGAAAAGATTTAACCACAAGGGGCGTAGGGGCTTTTTTTTCAGTTAGAGCGGTTAGGGTCTGGAACTCGCTGCCACAAGCAGTGGTATCAGCAGAGAGTATTGAATCATTCAAAAAGCATTTAGATACCTACCTCAGAGACCATAACATGCAGGGGTACAGGTACACTTAAAAACAAGATCACACAGGGACTTGTACACACATGCACAATCACACACAGACACACATGTTGAACTTGATGGACCTGTGTCTTTATGTAACTATGAATATTCGTTCGAAACTAACAAAAATTCAGATTTCGTCCAAATCCGAAACCGGATTAAATTTCGGACCCGAATCCCGAAAAACAAAATAATGAAAAGTCCGAACCGAATTTTTCCGCAGCTTACATGTCTGCTGCCTGCTTTATTTCTATAAACAGAGGTTGAGTTTCTTTGCAAAGTTTTATATAGCATTCCGTTTTCTAAGCTTTGTATAAATTCGGCAATAGCTAAATCCACGGAGGAAGGAAATCTGCAAGATTAATGCCGGGCTGGTTTCATCAGCTTAATTCACATTCCTTTTCTCCCAGACACAATTGAACAATTGTAATAATCATTATCTATTATTATTAATATTATTGTTGTTATTATTATTATGTATCCAGGAAAAGATAAACATATCGCACTCATACACTATAACAGCAGCTTGGGAAAAGTCATTACTGTGTCGATATTCAGACACACGTGTCATTGTAGCTACATTTGGCTACAGAAATGTAACAAAGACAATGATCGTTTGTATTCTCCAGATGTTGTTTTTACGGCAGAAGTTCAAATGATTATTTCCCTTTCTTTATAGATTTACTAACATAGAGATATATAAAAGAAGGTGAGCGGCACTGAGTTTGTTTACGCAGAGCACGGAGGTGGAAAATGTTTAACCGGGATTGTTGAAGATTGCACTGTAAATTTAACCCTTTCCCTGCCATGGTCTTTTTTCAAAAAAAATTTTTTGGTACACATTTTAATCCACCTTTTATAGGCCTGAACATTACTTTAAACCCCCGAACATTATATATTTTGTGAAAGCCAAGATCCTGTAGAATAAAATGGGGGCAGCTGCAGATTTTTACACTGCATGATATTAGCACACCTTCTTATGCCCCAGAGTGAGAGCAATAATTCATGGATAACTCTAAACTGCTGACCTGTACAGGCTTTTAAAGCATCACCTATGGACAATTTGGGGTACCGTATATTGTTCCTATTTCACAGACGCACGCAGTTTTTAACTTTGGGTATTATATTGTGTTTTTGGGCACTAAAATATTTTTACTCAAATTTTGGGTTTGATAAATAGTTGCGATATTGTTGTGTGACGTAAAAATTAGCAACTAACGCCATTTTATTCTACATTCGGGAAATGCAGTCAGGGGCATCCTGAGACCGGCAGTGCGACGTTACCTTGCGCGCGCGCGCGATGACGTCATCGCGAATGCGCGGCCATCTGATTGACGCCTGCCGACTGCCATCTTGGTGATGGACGCCGGCAGAGAGAGGAGGGGACGTTCACCCGGCAGGATGAGGAATGCTGCCGGGTCCCCTCCTCTCTCCGCACACTGTCGGGCTCTTGGTCCATGACTGAGTGCCCGGATTTTTAGAGGGGGTGACACCAAAATGACTGTCAGTCATTTTGGTGTCACCCGGGTGCGGGCCGCACCTCCGCACCCCCCTTGTGATGCCACTTAATGCAATATATAACTATCGGTAATTTCCAGGCCTAAAATGTGGATTATAACGTGTGCAAAAAAACCCCCAAAAATATAGAAAATACGCCCTGGCAGTGAAAGGGTTAAAGTGTAGAGGCGGACTCTATCTGACTCGCTGCAGCATTGAGGAGAATTTATCAAAACTGGAGCAGACAAAATCTGGAGCAGCTGTGCATGGCAACCAATCAGCTTTTCTCTTTCATTTTCAAATCTTTAAGTGAACCACCTGAAGAGAGAAGCTGCTCCAGCTTTGATAAATCCCCCTCATTGTGTGAGGCTCACAGTGTGCAGGGAAATCAGAGGAAGCCATTGCAGTCCGCTGGAAAGGTCACGTCGGTGGTACAAGAATGTGAAACGCTGCCGTAGATAATATGCTGGCCGCCTTGATACAAAAACGAGGGTTAAAAAACAAGTGTAAAGATCAATACTCAGACTTGTTAGTAACTAATCAGATGTTTGAACAGTAGCAGCGGCCGGCCGGGCGGCAGGAACACAGCGAGCTGTCACTCTTTAACCAACTGATTGCTTTAACTTCCACTTTCTGCAGCCGTATAACGAGAACAATGTAGACACACCGGGAAGTTGTTCTATAGATCAGACTTAAAGGAGAGGCAGCCGTAGTATAAAGATTGACCAGAGCTGACCGTGCACTACATACAATCTGATTGTACAATCTCATTTAGATCTATCATACACTATAGTACAAGGGTCCCATCAAGTGGATACTATTGGATGTAATTCATTGGGGGCAGCACTTTTTGCGTTGCAGCAAGGGTCCCCGGTTCAAATCCCGACCAGGTCACTATCTGCATGGAGTGTGCATGTTCTCCCTGTGCTTGTGTAGGTTTCCTCACACACTCCAAAGACATGCTGGAAGGAAGGTTAATTGGCTCCTGTCTAAATTGTCCCTCGTACATGTGCATGTGAGATAGGGACCTTAGACAGGGTGTCACCTGGAGCGGTTAACGGGTGACACCCCGTCGTGACGTCACCGCGCTCGTGTGCGATGACATGTGCGGCGATCTTATTGATACCTGCTGGCGGCCATCTTGGTGATGGACGCCGGCAGAGAGAGGAGGGGACAGTCACCCGGCGGGATAAGGTATGCCGCCGGGTCCCCTTCTCTCTCCCGAAACTGTCGGGCACTCGGTCATAGACTTTTCAGAGGGGGTGACACCAAAATGACTGTCAGACATTTTGGTGTCACCCCTCTAATGGTGTCACCCAGGTCACACCATTAGAGGGGTCACCCCCGCACCCCCGCTTGTGACGCCACTGACCTTCGATTGTAGGCTACTTGAGGGCAGGGACTGATGTGAATGTGTAGAATTGTAAGCGCTATATACATACCAATAATAATTGTTGAGGTTTGTCCTCATATTACATACTTTTGGTAAGAGACTGTAGACAGATTGTACAATCAGATTGTGTAGTGTATGGCCAGCCTTAAGCAGTCTTATTGTACAATCTCTTGTAGTGACCGCACGCGTTACAATCTGACCACACAATCTCTCTACAATCCACTTTCAGTTTGCCAAAACTATGTAATATGAGGACCTGTCTAAACTATCCAATCAGTCTGTATCCAGTCAGGCAGGCCCTCGCACTACATCATTGTGAGGCCCCTTTCACACAGGAAGGGACCCCATGCCGGAATCAGATGCAACTGGACATCTGTCCGATCCGACATCATCGACACAGAACTCTGATCTGTTACTTTTTCCGGACCTGGACGGGGGCGGAGGTTGCTGGATCTAAACGGACGCCCGTCCATTTACACCTGGCTGCCCATAGACTAGCATTGGGTATCCAATCGAGTCTGCCTGAAAAACTGACAGGTGGACCCAATTGTACCGCCGGCCAGCGTGAAAGGGGCCTCAGTAGATGTAAAGGAGATTGTACAATCAAATTGCAGCATGCGTGGCGAGCTTACCAATACTATGTAATACAAGGACAAACAAGCAATCTGTTCAGTTTGTTTCAGAGCAGACACTTGGATGGTAGATCTAAAGGAGATTGTACAATCAGATTGTACAGTGTATGGTCAGCTTTAGACTTAAGTGATAACACTCCCTCCATTCTGGGTACACACAGATTGAATTGTGCCCGATTGAGCAGGAATTGGCCGAAATTCCATCCATGGGTGGCCCTATCTTCTCGACAAAAGTTGTTCATTAGATCATGCTGGGAAATGGTGAGGCAAACGGTGCTTGCAGCCAATCAAAAATCTTTCCCTGTGTACCCAGCCTGAGGGTCACGTGCACAATTTTCATTCCATGCGATAGTCTTGGAGGCTTCACAGGAAAGTCGGACTGCAGCCAGGCTCCGCAATCCAAGAGGTTCTGCAGCAGCAGAGTGATGCAAAGTCCCCCCCCCCACACACACAGTATAAATGGCTCCTCTTCCCATGTGTCTTCATTGATTCAGAGAACAGCCTCACATGGCTCTGGCCCCATTTCTATCTGTTGTCCGGGCCCCTAGGTGTGCAGAGAGAGGCTTTGGGACCCAGACTGTACTCATTATGGTGTGACTGTCCCAGACTCCGCCCCCCATCCTGCCCTCTCCCCTCCCCTGCCAGATCAGAGCTTTGTTCAAAAGTATTCTCTGCTGGCCCGGGTTCCTCATTCTCAGTCCTTCTCTGTGACAGCTGGAGCACCACGTCATCCAGGAGAGGGTGAGTGAGCCAAATCAGGGGAACTTTCTGCTCAGTCAAAGTTTGTTCTCCCGGGGGGAGCACAGCACTAAGTGCATATGGGAGGGGGACCGGATAGGATGCTCGGGGGCGACCGGACAAGGTGCTCGGGGGGGACCGGACAGGGTGCTCGGGGGTACCCAGGCTATGGGACATCTACTGCAACAAAAACTGATCACCTACACTGGCCCTTCTATACAACCAAAGACTGATCACCTGCAATGACCCTTCTATACAATCAAAAACTGATCACCTGCACTGACCCTTCTATACAACCAAAAACTGATCACCTACACTGGCCCTTCTATACAACCAAAAACTGATCACCTGCAATGACCCTTCTATACAACCAAAAACTGATCACCTGCACTGGCCCTTCTATACAACCAAAAACTGATCACCTACACTGACCCTTCTATAGAACCAAAAACTTATCACCTGCACTGACCCTTCTATACAACCAAAAACTGATCACCTGCACTGACCCTTCTATACAATCAAAAACTGATCACCTGCACTGACCCTTCTATACAACCAAAAACTGATCACCTACACTGGCCCTTCTATACAACCAAAAACTGATCACCTGCACTGACCCTTCTATACAACCAAAAACTGATCACCTGCACTGACCCTTCTATACAACCAAAAACTGATCACCTGCACTGACCCTTCTATAGAACCAAAAACTGATCACCTGCACTGACCCTTCTATACAATCAAAAACTTATCACCTACACTGACCCTTCTATACAATCAAAAACTGATCACCTACACTGACCCTTCTATAGCACCAAAAACGTATCACCTACACTGACCCTTCTATAGAAATAAAAACTGATCACCTACACTGACCCTTCTATAGAAGCAAAAACCTATCACCTACACTGACCCTTCTATACAACCAAAAACTGATCACCTGCACAATCCTTCTATAGAACCAAAAACTGATCACCTACACTGACCCTTCTATAGAACCAAAAACATTTCACCTACACTGACCCTTCTATAGCTCCAAAAACTGATCACCTGCACGACCCTTCTATAGAACGAAAAACTGATCACCTACACTGACCCTTCTATAGCTCCAAAAACTGATCACCTACACTGACCCTTCTAAAGAAATAAAAAATTATCACCTACACTGACCCTTCTATAGTATCCACATATGGGAATACACATTGTCAGTTTTGATAAGGGTCACCACATGTTGCAATCTTTCTACTTTCGAAGTTAGTAGGAGGAGGAGATGCAATCATAAAACACTCATTTGGCATGTCTTTCAAATACTCCCATTGAAGTCTGTGAGGCCAACAATGCGACTCTGCCCCCAAAAAACTAATGTGCTTTCTTGAGGTACAAGTGACCCAGCGCTTAATGCGCATGATGGGATTATCATTTATGCTGAGCATTGAGGTGTGAATTGGGGGCTTAGTGCAGTTTCCAACTCAATTCGATAAGGAGAAATGGAAACACGTGTAAAATTCCAAATACGCTCTACACACGACCGGACCACATAAAAAACTGTGCGGTGTGAATGGCCAGAGAGAAGCATAATATGGATAGTATGGTCACGATTTAAACACCAATGTGCGCTCACCTTGTGGCAGCGCCTTTTATTCAAGTTTGTAGTTCTTTCCGTACCGTTAACGGATGTCTTTCACCCTGTTGGAATAGATGGTAAATAGTAGACCTGTGCGATTCGTTTAGTTTGGAATCGAAATTTGGACGAAATTTCAGAAATTCGGAGATTCGGATGTATTTGAATTCCGAATGACAGATATAACGAATGCAAACGGATCAGAATTTCCGATTCAGAAATTAGTTAGCGGTAATCTGTACGTAATTTCGTTTGTTGGACGAAATTTCGTTGCAGCAAAGTGACATTTGAGAAAAAAAATCCCCCATCAAATGTCACTTTGTTGCAACGAACGAAACGAAAACGTAACAGAAGTTCGTACAGATTACCGCTAACAAATTTAATCCGAATACGAATCCCAAAAACGAATTGACTTTAGGACCCGAATCCCGAAAAATGAAATAACGCAAAATCCGAATCAAAACGAAACATTTTTTTTGCCGGTGCACATGTCTAGTAAATAGATTCGTTTAGAATGGCGGTTAAGGGACCTTTTACACGTATGCTCATGCAAAAATGCGCAATTTAGATTAATGCCTTTGCGGGGGTTTTCGGTCATGTAAAGAAAGGGATGAACATTAGAGTTGTGCACCGTCAAAAAAATTGTTTTGTTTCGGAATATCCGTTATCGTAATTCGTGTCCGAAACTCAATTCGGATTCGTACGAAATACGAATTTTCATTAGTTTCGTCACGGAAACGTAACTTGTTGACCAATCAGAGGTTTTCTTCTGCTGCGGGTTGCATTACAGGCACGAAATACGAAATTCCGTTAAAGTTAACGGAATTTCGTGCCTGTAATGCAACCCTCAGCAGCAGAAAAAAAACTCTGATTGGTCAACCAAACAGTCACGTTTCCGTTGTAACGGAATTCAGATCTGAAATTCGTCAACAGAATTTCGTATTTTGTAAAAAAAAAAAAAAAATCAAAATCTTGTCATGTTGTTCAACCTCAGTCACAGGGGCAATATTAGTCCCCGTTTCAACGAAATTCGGATCCGAAATTCGTCAACGGAATTTCGTATTTCGGATACATTCGGAAGCATAGTAAATAGTAAACCAGGTGCGATTCGTTTAGTTTACCGCTAACAGATTACCGGATGCTTCCGAATTAATGAATTTCAGGAAATTCGTACGAATTTCGATTCGTAACGAAACGAATGGCACATGTCTAATGAACATTCAGAATTGCAGCTTGCATTGCAGCTCGATGTGCGAAAATGCTACTTTTTAAAAACAGGGAACACATACAATGTACACTGGCTGCATAGGAATGAATGGAGTTTATTGATTTGTTTATTACAGGTATTTATATACCACATTCAATGTACGCAGCGCTTCACATACTATTCATTCACACCCCTCCCTGCCCTCAAGGAGTTTACAATATAACCCTTATGTCACGCGCACACATAACATTCCAGTGCCAATTTACAGCAATCATACACCACACACCACGATCTGATTGTACAATCTCCTTTAGATCTACTATCTCAGGGGGTGGGCAACTCCGGCTACAAATCCCAACATGCCTCTGGGAGTCATGCCTGTAACTGTCAGTCTTGCAATGCCTCATGGGACTTGTAGGTCCGCAACAGCTGGAGGGCTGAAGTTGCCCACCGCTGCCCTAGACTGAAACGAACAGAGTTCATTTTTTTCTTTTCCTGGAGTTCCTCTTTAACGCAGTGCACAATGATATGTGAAATACCACTTTAAGGGCTTGTGAACACAGTCAGCTGAGCCTGTATATTGTACATTTGGCGTATTTCCACCACTAGGGACCCCCGTGCAGGGGAATCCCCAGGTGTGGTGTCACCCGGAGCGGATGCAGTTTCCTGCACAAAAACTGAGAATTTCGTTCGTTCAAAAAATTCTCATTGCTCCTTCAATAGAAAGGATCCATTGACTGCGGTCACAACTGATCCTCAATTTGACCCGAAAATCCAACCGAATAATATTTTTTTACATGAAATTCTGCTGGTGTAGTGCTGAATGGGAGAAATCATTAGAGTCCCCCATGCATGCTAAACAGCAGGAATGGAGGAATCCCCACCGCCTCTGTCTCTGGGAGTCATGCCTGTAACTGTCAGTCTTGCACTGCCTCATGGGACTTGTAGTTCCACAACAGCTGGAGGGCCGGATTAAGGGTTGATGCCTTTTCTTCAAGTGAAACCCGAACACTCTAGCAACATGCCGACATTTTTTGGGAAGAAAGAGCCGTGGCTTAGTCAGGGGCGACCTGAGGCTGGGTGACACCCGGTCTCCAGACCGGGCGGCACCCCGCCATGTCTTCACCTCGTGTGCGCGCGTGACGTCACCTCGCGCCTGCACGATGATGTCATACTGCATGCGCGACCATCTGATTGACGCCTGCCGGCGGCCATCTTCGTGATGAATGCCAGCATAGAAAGGAGGGTACGTTCACCCGGTATTTTGATAGCCAGCGGGGCCGACAAGTAAGATACTGAAGCTTGGCCCAACGTATGGTTGCCAGCTGTCCAGGACTCACCCGGACAGCCCGGGTTTTGAATGCTGTGTCCGGGTTTCATGGCAGCTGAAACCCAGACACCAGATGTCAGGCAGACAGGGGCAACCAAAATTAAGATAGGGGCTACTGGCCCCCCACTGAAAACAGTCTCCACTGTGATATTTACATATAAATGGGCGGCGCTATTTACATATGAATAAGCCACGACTCATTCTCCCAAAAAAATGTCCGTGCGTCGCTAGAGTGTTCGGGTTTTGCTTGAAGAAAAGGTGGCAACCCTAGCCCAACGGGAGACTCCTCCATCTACACAGATTAGTGTAGCTGGAGGAATCTGCTGCACTTTTTCTAGGGATGCACCGGTATCAGTATTTCGGTACAGAGTACGGGTTCTGATTTTTTTTTTTCCGGTACTGGCCGATACCGAATACTGAGTACCAGAGTACCAGAAGTCCCATTCAGGGAGCCAGGCGGTTTGTAATGACTCACCATCTGGCTTCCCGATTAGCAGTGAAGCTGTCTTCATGCTTCTCATCACTAGGTGACGAGAAAGCATGGCTTTCTGGCCAATCAGGAAGCCGGGACCCTGTGTAATGACGCAACGCGATTGGCCGGGAAGCCGGTGACGAGGGAGCATGAAGCCGGCTTCCCGACCAATCAGAAAGCCGGGCACCGCGTCTTTACACGGTGCATCGCTATCTTTTTCCATCTGACCATAGAAAGTCTGCAGATAATCTATAGGTGTATGGCCAGCTTAAGGGAGGAAACTGATGCAAGCACAGGGAGAACATACAAACTCCATGCAGACTGTGTCCTGGTTGAACCAAGATTTGAACTGGGGATTTTACTGCTGAATAATGGAACAAGTGTGAATGGGCCAGTAGTGGCTGGTACTTGTCCCTTGTAAAGCTGGCCATGCACTCTACAACCTGATTGTACAATCTCCTTCAGATTTACCAGAGCCCTGTAATATAGGGAGCTCCCTAAACTCTCCATTCCGTGTGTATGACATCAGGCCGGCCTTTGTACTATGTAGTTGCCCTTGCACGCTATAGTAGGTTCATTGGCTTCTCTCCTAGTTGGCTCTGACTTTTATAAAGACATTAAATTGCTTTACAGGCAAAGGCAGATACGAGGCGCTCTGTAAAGCGGAGTGGAAAAGTACAATATAAAATAAAAACATGTATCCAAATAATGTTTTGGCCTCCTCACTTGTGCGTCGCAGAAAAATGCACTTTTCGCCATGTGTCCCCGCAATTTACCATAACGTGCGGTGCTCGGTATGGTGTGTTGGCATTCATTTATATAGGCCCTGAAGCATAGTGCAGTGGGTGCTGACATACCTGCACTGCAGCACCCCAAATGCACGTGGGGGGGTGGGGATGGTTGGGTGGTGCCGCCTTTAAAAAAAGATGAACATCCAAGTTTTATACCGTTGCTTGTTTATACCGTATCAGCAGGCCATTGTAAATGAATTGGCCTTAAGGAGGACCTCCAGCTAGTACACAAATGTAACTCTTGCAGTGAGGCTACTCCTGCACTGCAAGGGTTAACTGCTCATTTTGGTCCAGAATACAGAAGATATACACTGAGTGGCCAGATTATTATGACCAGGGGCTGACTGGCAACTTTTAGCCCAGGGGGCAAGTACAACCCAGAGGCCCATGGTGCAGCAACTTGGCCCCCCTCCCGCTCTGCCTCTTCCCCCGCCTTCTCCCCGCCCCTGTCTGACACTTTTGCCATCCATGTAACAGTAGTGTGAATGTATTTATCGGTTTAGGAAATTAAAGCACACTGGTAGTGGAGGGATGCCTCGTCAGGGCTTTGCGCGTGCATGACTGCCCTGGTAGTTCTGCCACTAACTCAGAAATACATTGTACAGCGTTGCAGAATGGCATTGGCTATAGAGAACTACAATTCCAAGCAATACATTATACAGCAATGCAGAATACCATCAGCTATAGCGGACTATAAATCCCAGCAATAATAACTACCAACAGCTATAGAGAACTACAATTCCCAGCAATAACATTATACAGCAATGCAGAATAGCATCAGCTATAGAGGACTACAAATCCCAGCAATAGTACATTATAGCTGGCGGTATTCTGCATTGCGCTGTATAATGTATTATTGCTGGGATTTGTAGTCCCCTATACAGCGCAATGCCGAATATCACCAGCTATAGAGAAACACAACAAATCCCAGCAATAGTACATTATACATACAGTGTATAATGTATTGCTGGGATAGTGGGATTTGTAGTCCTCTATACAGCGCAATGCAGAATACCGCCAGCTATAATGTACTATTGCTGGGATTTGTAGTCCCCTATACAGCGCAATGCCGAATATCACCAGCTATAGAGAAACACAACAAATCCCAGCAATACATTATAGAGCACCATGTGTGGGAAAGTGCAGGCTTACCTGAGCAGTCTATCAGAAACTTGATTCTGAGATCGGGCCTGTCTGTCGACGGCTGTCATCCCCTCACGCCTGCTCCTCCTTACTTCTTCTTCTCTCCATGTCCCTGCGCCGATCGTGGATGTGGGGAGGAGGTATGGCGTGTGGATGCGGGCTGGCAGGTCTGGCAGCAGCAAGGGTGAGGCAGGGAGGAGGTGCGGCATATGGAGCGTGGATGCGGGCGGGCGGGTCTGGCAGCAGCAAGGGTGAGATCCACAGGCTGCGAGCATTTCTGCTGACCTAATGAAACAAAGTCAGAGGCAGGAATATCGCTCTCCATGGCAGTAAACAGTTGCCGGTTTATAAACTCGGTCATAGTGCAAACATCAAGATTTTACATAATCACAAAGTAAACATCGCAGACTTTAAGAGGATTTCCACTTTTAGCAAGAAAAAGGACTAAAACTCGTATTTGTTTAATACACAAGACATGACCACCGGCCAGCTGAGGACTTCCGGGTCTTGTCTTATCCTGCTGATTCCTTATCTCTGGGGTCATTTGGAGCCGTTCCGCCTCCAATGCACTCCGCTGCAGTTTATGTGTCCACAGTTGGTCATACACTGGTGGACCTTCATATGAACGTTCATCCGAAAAATCTCAGCAGAACGTTTGGTATAGTCATCAGCGACTTGACCAATGTCGTTCCAAATTTCGTTTGATTTAACATTCAATTTTGGAAATTGAATGGAGTTTCCTGAACAAAAACCACATTCATGGTTAGAATTTCGTTCATTCAAAAAAACATTTCATGGCTCCTTCAATGGAAAGGATCCATTGACTGCGGTCACATCTGATCCTCCACTTGACCCCATGAATTATTCGAAAATCCAACAGAAGTTGAAATTCTGCTGGTGTAGTGCTGAATGGGAGGATGCATGGTAAACAACATGAATGGAGGAATCCCCACCGCCGGAGATTGTAACGAGCAGCCATTGCTCCCGCGGCTGCTGAATATCCGAATAGTGCCTCCACCTGATTGGACGCAGTCATGATTCGGTCAATAATTTGCCATCTGGCTCCTTTGACAAAAGTTGAAAAATTGTTGAACCAGATGGAGCCGGCGGGCCCACCCACCGTCCGTCAGTTTTCCAGGTGGACCTTATCGGAAGTGCAATGTTAGTCTACGGGCCAGCATATCTGTTTACATCCGATTACCTCCGAGTCCAAAAAAAAAGAAAATATGGAGTTCCATTTGGTGGACCTGATCATGATCGTGGTAATTGGATGAAAATGGACGCATGTCCGCTGACATCCAACTGCCCACAGACCTAACATGGGCCCAGTAATTCTGATTTTTCCTCCAAACTGAATGGACATAGAGGTCACAAGGTCAGCAGCAGATCTGTCCATATATCCCCTGCTGATTGGTACAAACACCGCCCGTGTGAAAGTGAATGCCACATGGGGCCTTACAATTGCCTTTTTTTGTTTTTACAAAATACTGTTTTTACCATTGTTCACCTTTTTTTGTATCTCAGTGCTACCGATCTCCTCCAGTCTCTTTCAGCCACTTCCTGTGTACATGCAGTCGCTCCATTGTCAACTACATATTATTACTCTGGATAGGCTTCCTGATAGTGTCAGCAGTGAACAATGCCTGGGCAATGTGCATCAACACAGCTTGTAATCCCACCAGGGAGGCACGTGACAGGGTGACAACACTATGTGTACCCAGCCGCACTCCTTACCAGTCTGCCCCTTGGAAATGGGTGCTGAAGTGGCTGTGAATGGCACCGCTTAAATCCAAACAAATGGGATATGTCACGGGCACACCAGAATGAAGCTGCACATCATGTCACAAAGAAAGCAATGTTTTAGGGCCACTACAGGCTCCTTCATCAGGCTTATTATGATGCCATAAATAGCTTGATAAAGGGGCCCACAGTAGCCCCAAAATGTTGCTTTCTATGTGACATGATGTGCAGCTTCATTCTGGTGTGCCCGCGACATATCTCATCTGCTCGGGTGACAATGCAAGCAAGCAATTGGGACCCAGTTGTCACCCTGTAATAAAAAGTGCCTGAACGATGACCTTCATGGCAGGATCATTAAAGGAGAACTATGAGGTGACTGATTTCCACTCATCCTCATAGTTAGAGCCGACGTGTGACAAAGAAGCTGTCACAGGTCGGCTCTATCGATCGGGAAGTGAGCAGAAACATGCTGCCGATCCGCGCACTTCCCGATCATCTCCCTGCAGAGAACGGTGACTGTCAGTCACCGCTCCCTGCAGGGATTCCCCCTCTCCGATCCTCCATTGTTGAGTGGAGGAATGGAATGGTAAGGGGGCGGGCACAGCTAGATCTGCCTCTAGATAGGCAGAGCCAGCTGTCACTCACGCAGCTAGGTGGATCCAGACAGTATTGTCGGGATCCGTCCCGGCTGCGGCGCTCTCAGTATATCTATCTATCTATATCACTCACTATATACTGAGCTTTGGGTCATGGGAGGATGTTAGTATATGTCTTCCCATGACCCTAAAGAGAACTATGGGATAAAAAGGTTACCCCATAGTTCTCTTTTAAATATTTTAATGTAGCTGCAGATTTTTGAAGACTGGGGGCCTGTTAACACTATGGGGCTGATTCATTAAAGCTTCGCCGAGCCTACAGCTGGTATAACTGATCATATGATTGACTTTGGAGATTGTTGGATGTCGAAGCTTTTGAGCTTTTACTGATTAAATTTAAATCTACTTTGAAGAAGAAAAAATCTTGCTTGCTACTGAGATTCCTAATCAGAGTTGGTTGAACTCGCTCAAGTTGAATGGTTTATTTTTTTAGTTCCGCCTTATTATTGACCTGCGGCAATATTTAGTAGCGAAGAATGAAAAAGTAGAAATTGATGTATATTATAACAGGCGCGCCTTCTTTTTAGGATTGTTTAATGAGGCCATGTACAGAGTAATCATGTGTTGTAACTGAGAAGTTGAGAGTTCAACTTCTTGCCCGTCCCTCAGCGGGGCGGGCTTGCGTGTGCTTTGTGCTTTGGAGGAACTATGAGTATGCTTGATCCTGGGGTTCTGGTTGAACTTTGGGTGTTTTATGATAACCTTGACACCACACTTGGGACACCAAAATTGGAATCAAGCCTTTTCGCTCACCATTTACTTTATATGCTTACATGGAGACTGTTTGGACTGTGCACTTACAAACTCTTCTTATTATATCCTAGGTCTATGAGAGGTCTGCCCTGATAAAAGAATGGCTCCAGCAGTAGGAACAGACTTGGGTTACACCCCACCAGACGGAGGCTGGGGATGGGTGGTCGTTTTGGGGGCCTTCATATCCATGGGGTTTTCCTACGCCTTCGCTAAAGCCGTCACTGTGTTCTACAAGGAAATCCAAGAGTACTTTGGGGCCTCAAAGAGTGAAATAGCCTGGATTTCCTCTCTGCTGCTAGCCTGCATGTACGCTGGAGGTAAGTACACTTCAAACAGAAACCCCAATGACAGTCTGCAGCACATTGATAGACTCCATTGACTTGTACAGTTCTCTTGCAGATATCCATGCCTGTGCTACAAATCCATTTTGTTTTTTTCTTTCCTAGAAATGTTATTTCAAGGTCAACTTCACCCACAGCTGATACAGTATTTCAGCTTTGGGTGGGCACTGGTGGGTTGAATCTCCTTACAATAAATTGACAGCTTCAAAACAATTTGTTGAAAGGTCGAATCCAAAAACAAAAAAACACAATGTCAATTTCCTTAACAGTGGTTGTATTTTTCCATTAGGTTCAGTTGAGGTGATTTCGATCCCATCTTCTTCGGAAAAGGCACCATCTTATGTTTTTGATTGCTTCATGATTTAACAAAAATGGAAATTAAAGCTTGATCACTGTATCAAATTGGCACAAGTATGTCCACCTTAAAGACTAATTGCACCTTTAATACCATGTTCCATATTACACCCATATTTAGTTTGTAACATGGTAAAATTGCGCAATCCCCCCCCCAACCTGCCACCACCTCTCACCTGAATTTCAGGGTGCTTCTCTCCACAGGCTCTTGTGTATTTTTGAAGAGGATCTGTGAATGAAAAAAGTACAAATCCCATCTGCCACTGCGGCAGAGAGACTCTTGGCTCTCAGGGGAGTTCAGGTGCGTTGATGTCACCCCAATTGTAGTCCATTGATTACTTCCTCTGGTCTTATAATGTAAGGTCCATACCTCGGGACAGAACTGGGGCCAGGGGAGCAGTATGCTGGAGCCTGTACATTACACCCATGATCCACTGATCACGGTTGCAACGTTACACAGGCTCCAATGCAAAAAATAATATATACACATAAACATTTCTTTTTGCAATTTGGTTTGATTTATTAATATTTTTCAAAAAGTTAAGACTTTCAATATTGACATATTTGTTCTGGACTAGTAACTTAAACAATTGAAGTCAGAGGGTCAGTATAACAATAGTAATTACTAACCTTGTCCGACTTGTGCAGACCTGGTTGTGTCCGGTGGGGAACGGGCAGTATAAAAGGATCCTTTGTATTGTAAACTACACTTCAGCCCTTCATACATTGGGACCCACCCAGGTTGTTTACCCCCTTCTCACTGATATCTGTGAGATCTGTGGATATTTACCATAATGGTCTTGTGTACTGGATACACCCTTGGCGCCCAACCTGCAGCCCGAGGGCCCCTGCAAATAATAGTCTGTGTTTTCTTTACTCAGGTGTTTATTCAGGTCAGTGAAGGAAAATATTCTACAGACAGGATTCTAATAGTTAATCAGTTTGTTTTTTTCCATTCACACTTCCCTACATTTTCTCTGCTTTCCATCCCCTTGTAATGAGGCTGTAATAGCAGTAAACTCTAGCAATCTCACATAATGTGTCGCCAGTCTAGGGCTGTCTCTTTAAGCATGCCCTCAGTCCCTCCTACAGCTGGGGTAGGCAAACTTTGACCCTCCAGCTGCGGTGAAACGAAAAAATCCCATCATGCATCTGCCTCTGGGAGTCATGCCTGTGGCTGTCAGAGTCTTGCAATGCCTAACAGGACTCATAGTTTTACCAAAGCTGGAGGGCTGAAGTTTGGCTTCCCCTGCCCTACAGCATGTTTTAGTCTATGACTGTCTCTTGTAGCATGCCCATACTCTTTGACCATCTGCAGTCTGCAGGTGCATGTCTGCTGTCTCTGACCATCTTTTGTACCATGCCCATAGTCTTAGACCATCTCCTGGTGCATGCCTGTATTCTATGACCATCTCTTGTAGTATACCTGTGGTCTTTGACCATCTCCTGGTGCATGCCTGTAGTCTATGACCATCTCTTGTAGCATACCTGTGGTCTTTGGCCATCTCCTGGTGCATGTCTGCAGTCTCTGTCCATCTTTTGTACCATGCTCATAGTCTTAGACCATCTCCTGGTGCATGCCCGTAGTCTATGACCATCTCTTGTAGCATACCTGTGGTCTTTGGCCATCTCCTGGTTCATGTCTGCAGTCTCTGTCCATCTTTTGTACCATGCCCATAGTCTTAGACCATCTCCTGGTGCATGCCTGCAGTCTATGACCATCTCTTGTAGTATACCTGTGGTTTTTGACCAACTCCTGGTGCATGTCCGTAGTCTATGACCATCTCTTGTAGCATACCTGTGGTATTTGACCATCTCTTGGTGAATGCCTGTAGTCTATGACCATCTCTTGTAGCATACCTGTGGTCTTTGGCCATCTCCTGGTGCATGTCTGCAGTCTCTGGCCATCTTTTGTACCAAGCCCATAGTCTTAGATCATCTCCTGGTGCATGCCCATAGTCTATGACCATCTCTTGTAGCATACCTTTGGTCTTTGACCATCTCCTGGTTCATATCTGCAGTCTCTGTCCATCTTTTGTACCATGCCCATAGTCTTAGATCATCTCCTGGTGCATGCCCATAGTCTATGACCATCTCTTGTAGCATACCTTTGGTCTTTGACCATCTCCTGGTTCATATCTGCAGTCTCTGTCCATCTTTTGTACCATGCCCATAGTCTTAGATCATCTCCTGGTGCATGCCCATAGTCTATGACCATCTCTTGTAGCATACCTTTGGTCTTTGACCATCTCCTGGTTCATATCTGCAGTCTCTGTCCATCTTTTGTACCATGCCCATAGTCTTAGATCATCTCCTGGTGCATGCCCATAGTCTATGACCATCTCTTGTAGCATACCTTTGGTCTTTGACCATCTCCTGGTTCATATCTGCAGTCTCTGTCCATCTTTTGTACCATGCCCATAGTCTTAGATCATCTCCTGGTGCATGCCCATAGTCTATGACCATCTCTTGTAGCATACCTTTGGTCTTTGACCATCTCCTGGTTCATATCTGCAGTCTCTGTCCATCTTTTGTACCATGCCCATAGTCTTAGATCATCTCCTGGTGCATGCCCATAGTCTATGACCATCTCTTGTAGCATACCTTTGGTCTTTGACCATCTCCTGGTTCATATCTGCAGTCTCTGTCCATCTTTTGTACCATGCCCATAGTCTTAGATCATCTCCTGGTGCATGCCCATAGTCTATGACCATCTCTTGTAGCATACCTTTGGTCTTTGACCATCTCCTGGTTCATATCTGCAGTCTCTGTCCATCTTTTGTACCATGCCCATAGTCTTAGATCATCTCCTGGTGCATGCCCATAGTCTATGACCATCTCTTGTAGCATACCTTTGGTCTTTGACCATCTCCTGGTTCATATCTGCAGTCTCTGTCCATCTTTTGTACCATGCCCATAGTCTTAGATCATCTCCTGGTGCATGCCCATAGTCTATGACCATCTCTTGTAGCATACCTTTGGTCTTTGACCATCTCCTGGTTCATATCTGCAGTCTCTGTCCATCTTTTGTACCATGCCCATAGTCTTAGACCAACTCCTGGTGCATGCCCGCAGTCTATGACCATCTCTTGTAGTATACCTGTGGTTTTTGACCAACTCCTGGTGCATGTCCGTAGTCTATGACCATCTCTTGTAGCATACCTGTGGTCTTTGACCATCTCCTGGTGCATGTCTGCAGTCTCTGGCCATCTTTTGTACCAAGCCCATAGTCTTAGATCATCTCCTGGTGCATGCCCATAGTCTATGACCATCTCTTGTAGCATACCTGTGGTCTTTGACCATCTCCTGGTGCATGTCTGCAGTCTCTGACCATCTCTTGTACCATGCCCATAGTCTTTGACCATGTCCTGATGCATGTCTACAGTCTCTGATTGCTTTCTGTACTACTGTGTTTCTCCGAAAATAAGACACTGTCTTATATTTTTGGGGGCTCAAAAAACACACTAGGTCTTATTTTCGTTCCCCCTTATGCCACCACCGACCCTGGGAATGGTCACAACTAGGTCTTATTTTCGGGGTAGGTCTTATATTTTAGCAATTCCCAAAAATAGTACTCGGTCTTATTTAAGGGTAGGTCTTATTTTCGGGGAAACAGGGTATAATGTTTACTGAATATTATGTGCGGTCATTTGGCAATGTCAGGGGCCGCACTGGAGGCCCTCCGTATAATTTAAGTTGACCTGCACTGGGTTCCACTGTGTTTAGTACACAGAGTTTTCTTTTTTTTTTTGCTTACTGTCCACAGAATTCACTGGCTTGTCAGATTTCGTCATGTCAACAACACTGACCCTGTATCCAGAGGCCATGACAAACATACACAATGTTACAAAACAAAATTTAAAAACTTCCTACTACCAGAATCTAAACATTCTACAAGTTTTAAAGCGTTCCATAAGGCTGGGTCAAAGTGTTGGACAACTTTTTGAGGCCACGTAGAAAACACTTTTGCATTCATTTCAAAGTTGTCAATCATTCGTCTGTGAACAATCTGGGGGGTTTTGGTGTGTGTTGGCAGTGCACCAAATTGTCCCAAAAATGGAAATTCACAATTTTGTGGCAATTCAGCACACCGCTATGTACAGTAGGGCTTTATCATATGTTGCGTGTGCTGCAACATATGTGCGTTGGAGATGAGTTTTCTTAGTGCGTTGGGCATGCTATTTAGAATGAATGCCACCTCAATGCACTAGCGCGTGTAATGGTGGCGCACCACAGCACAAAAGTGTGTTTTGGCCCTTAATGTCCTGCTGTATAGCAGAAAACTGATGTCTTTGTGGATAATTTTGCAAAATCATATTATCTACACAACCTTTCATGACAAATTCGCCTTAATAATGACAGGCTAGTGGCACAAAGTACTAGGTGGAAGAAAGGAATGGCAGCCCGCATATTTCTATCAATGCAGATGTTTTTGGAAAGAAGAATTATTATAAATTACTGCATACTTTTAATTTTTGAAAAAGAACTTTAATTCCTTGGGTAGAAACATTTACACTTTGCAGGATCTGTGCATTTTTTTTGTTTTGTTTTACAGCTAGAAATAGATATTGCAGTAAGTGTTGTCCTATGGTGACAACACTTACTCACTGTGCTGTATTTAA